TATATTGTAAGTATGAATTAATATGTTGTTTGTATGTCCGTTGTAAATTCAGTGGCAGTTTTTTTTACAATGGGAGTCTATGGGGCAGTTGCTGGGGTGCTCTAAATGGTTGCTAGGGTGTGGCTAGTAAGTTGAAAGATTTGCAGATTGCTAGTCAAATGCCAATTTCAGACTGCATGATTTTCAAAGTAGTCGTGTCACAGGTGTTTTCACACTGCTTGACTACCTGGGCTAGCGTTTCGTCGCTGCTTTGTTTACACTGCAAGATGGATCGGTGACAGGGACTTTCACATTGCATGACTTTATTATAGGAAGAATCGCCTACAACTTCGTCCAAACTACGTCTCACAGCCAAAAACATGTAGTATATCTTTTGTTATTAACTACATAATGAGAAAGAAGCTTTTAATGGGGTAGAAAATTTACATATTTGCTCACCTGACTTTAAAGGGAATTAGCAATTTCTCCTCAACGTTGATAATAAACTAATTTCTTTCTGTATGACACGTCAAACAAACACAGTTGCTCCTGAGTCCTGTCAAACCTCCACTAGTTTTTCCTCCATTTCGTGGGTCCAAATAAACCGAAAAAGAGCGCTTTTAACTTCTCCCCCAGCACACGCACACACACAAGCGAATGCCGCTCTCTCATTGGCTGTAGGCGATCACTGATGTTATTTTCAGTCAAAACTCAATTCACACGGCATGATTTGAATCGCCGACAGCTCCAGAAATGTAGCATGCCAAATATCTCGCAGTCATCTGCGACTCATCAGCGATTCTCTCAGATCGCGTCTTTGATAGTTCATACTGTGTGATTTTTCACTCACGTGCACGAGCACCAATTTGCCCGTGATTTCAGGCATTTGTCGGCGATTTCTCAAAACCTGTCGGCGAGCCAAAATCGGGGCTAAAATCACGCAGTCTGAACTAGGCATAAGTTAAATGAGCCGGCTGTCGGACAGTCTAGTTGAAAGTTATGAGGTCACAGACACAAAGTATGGTCCAGTGTTAAGTCAATGGGACTTTTACAAATATTCTGGGTCAGTTTTGGGAAAACCGTAAGTCGTATCCGTTGGAAAAGATATTGCAACTTAATTCGTTACAGTTTGGAGATTTAGAGTTAGTTTGGTGGTTGTAGTATGAACAGTCTAGGACAGGGGTTTTCAAAGTGTGAGGCGCGCCTCCCCTGGGGGGCCCCAGAGCATGTCAGGGGAGGCGCGAGAAAAAATATAATATAATAAAAATATAATTATTAAGTTTAATTATCATATGTATTTTTTATTATATTTAAACGTTTTAATTAAACAAAGCAAAAATAATAATACGTCAAATATAAGAAAACCTTTTTTACCCAGAAGGCCATAGCTGTGAATTCGCTTCTGTTTGGCAAGCCCGCCAATACAGGTATATGCCTGCTAATACAATGGGTCGGTTTCTGAGACCCCCCCGATTCAAAGCTGTAATGAAGTTCACGGCCCTTTGGCCGCCGGGAAGAAGGAGGCGGAGAACCGAAGCAGTTGAGTGATTTATTAAGTGATTTATTAATGACAGTGACGGCAGCTCCTCACGTAGGCTACCGTCTAAACCAAAACAAACGGACTGATAACTGAAAGTCAAACTGAAAGCAAAAGTAAGATATGTCCGGGTCCGGTCCTCTCTCGGCTTCCTCTGCCCTCGTTTCTCCTTTTATGATCCAGAGCTCCTTCCGTGTATCCACTTACGCGGTGGCCTCACTCCGTTCCCACGGCTCTCGGCCACGCCCCCTCGCCACAAAAGCCTTGAAGTTCAGGGCTTAAACCCAAAAGACGACGACATGATGATCAGTATTTGAGTTTAGGATTTACATGGACAGGACCAGCTGATGAACCACAACCTTTATGTGTGGTTTGTCAAAATATTTTGGCTAATGACAGCATAAGACCCACTAAACTTCGACTGTTTTGACTGGGATGGACAGTTCTTGGATCTGTTCTATTCATATTGAACCATCATCCTAGTTTTAAAAACGTTATATTAAAATACTTGTTATTACTCTGTAAATAATTGAACTTTCATGCAAATGATGATAAAAGTGAGTTAACAGTCTGACATCTGTCTGTGTCTTTATATATACTGTGGATATATATATATATATATATATATATATATATATATATATATATATATATATATATATATATGTATATATATATATGTATATATATATATATGTATATGTATGTGTATATATATATATATATATATATATATATATATATATATATATATATATATATGTATATATATATATATATATGTATATATATATATGTATGTATGTATGTATGTATGTGTGTGTGTGTGCGTGCGTGTGTGTGTGCGTGCGCGTTTGGGAGGAGGGGGGCGCCAATGGATAAGTTGTGTCAAAAGGGAGGCCCACTGTCTTAGACTTTGAAAAACCCTGGTCTAGGAGGATATGTTATGCTTAAAATAATCTGAGAAGAAAAAGAAGAGGGAAGAATAATAAGTTAATGTAGTATAACAGTTTCTCAAACCCCCTATAATAATTTATTGCAGAATGGGTTTACACTAGTCAAGCTGCACCTGATTTTGCCTTGAATTGCTCGCAGATGTCTTCTGCATTGTCCTCTATCTGTCCAGTGACATTTACATTTTTAAAGTATTTATTTATGTATTTGAAATTAACATGTAATGAAACATGTCATTTCTGTTGGTTTTTTTGTAGCTCAGCAATAAAACAAACAAACAAATGTTATTTTAAACTAGAAATGACAATCTCTGTTAAAAGCATTCACCCCAACCCTGCCCATCATGGTGAGCCAAATCAAAGGTTACAATGGGCCAACTTTGACCTGTAGACCCTAGTCTGGGCATCTCTGACATATACACTTTATATATTTATATACACAGGCGTGGAAATTGAGAGTAAAAATCCTTTTTAAAATAAAAACGACAGTCAAAAAGGTTGAGAACTGCAAAAAAAGCCAAATGTTTACAAGGCCTAAAAATGGATGGACACAATCAATGAAAACTTTCATTTCAAGGCTATTTTTATTGCTTAGTCCATTCAAGGCTTATTTTACAACTTGCAGCCAGGGCCGGGTCGTGAGTCAATACAGCATCTCTGTCTTCTAGCGTTTGACATGGATTCACAGATTTTAAACATCATTGTTCTAAATGTTAGTTAAGTTTTATAATATGTTATCAGAAAATACAATGAAGTCAACTGAAAGTAGAGCAGAAGCCTAAAGCTGCCTTTCCACTGCACACGACATTTGAACACGACTGTCAGAATACGCCCTCTTGTGGCAGCCGCACAGTATTTTCAGTGTTGTCATGCACCACGGGGGAGAAGGTGATTCTCAACAGTGTCCGAAATAAAGGACTGCAAAAGCAATAGCCTTTATTCTCTGTGCGTTTACATAGTTTAATGGATGAATGAATACTAGAAACTCATAGACCGCTAAAATATTGGAGGGAATGTGGAGACAACATTAAAAAATATATATATTTCTATTACTTTCTTACTTACATTTATGAACAGAAAAGTTTTTCTTTAATATAGACTTTTTATAATTCAAAAAATAACCAAATAAACTCCTATTTCGCATCTCGCACGCACGGACCTGCTTGTACAACACTGGAATACATCATATCCGGTCGGCAGGTCGCATACGGTCTAGTCGCAGGAGTTCAAATATTTCAACGGATCCGCAGCTCAATTCGGATCCGAATTTTCCGAATACGAAGATGATAGGAACTTAACGCAGCTCCCGGACTGCTCTCCATTGGTAATGAATGACTTCCGGTCTGTCGCTTGTCGTGTGTAGTGGAAAGGCGGCTTAACAGTTTAAACAGCACAAAAATAAACCTTTTTTTCTTTGAGACCAGACTATCAAATAAAAAAAACTTCCACTAAACTGCAAACACTTGACAACATGCATCTGAATGCCAGCCAGGTGTAATGAAGCCAACGGAGTCTATTTTGTTCTTTGGTGTGATTTAACTATAATGAATGTGAATAGAGCCATTGTCCTTTAAGCCAACATGACTCTTTCTCTGTTAAACCCTTCATCAGCTTCCAGGTCCTGTACTTGCATTATGCATATTAAGATAACATCTAAGTTTTCCATTGCTTTCTGTCTTCAGTCATGTCGAACACACACATAGGCCGAGCATTAAGATAAGCCTCTGCATTTACAGAGCAGTCCTTTACTTCATTCCCTGAGAGACCTTGGCGTTTATTCAACAAGGAAGTGATTTATTTTACACAAATGAGGGAATTGCATGGTGCATTAGCATAACTGCTAAAAAGCCTCTTGCAGGTTCAGCAGCTATTAACCATTAAGTTTCTAAAACAATACATCAGAGATTAAATGGTGTAAAGAAAATCGCATAGATGAGAATTTCTGGATCTGTTATGCTATGATTTCTTTTGATATGGGTGGGGCTGTATTCCCACATCCCCCTCTGCACACACCCCTGAAGGGTTTGTCATGAGTTTTGTGCAGAAACAAAGACTGCCTTATGATGGCGGGCTGTACACACAGCTGATGTCAGTGTTATGGAGAGACAAGTTGTGTGAGGCAGTGTGTTGTCTATGGGCCCACTGGCATGATTAATTTATCCCAACATGCTGTGCTGCTGAAGAATTACCGTGCCGTCCTGTGTGTCTGGGTTGATTTGGAGAACTGGAGCGTGAAGGAGGACGGTATTAAGGTGCTTGCAGCTCAAGTTCAGCCTTAAAAAAACCAAGAAAGGCTTTCAGTCACTTTACTTCCCTATAGCATGCTTTTTTCCTGCTTGAATTGGACTTGGTGAAACTGTTATATGATATTCTGCTTGAAACGCATTTGAGGTCATTACTTTCACAGACTGTGAATTGTATTGTAACAATGATGTCTTTGTGGCTCTGCATTGTCTTTTGGGAATGTACTTACACAATTGGTTTTGCTCTCTTTATCTATGATCTGTGAACCTTGACCTGGCCTGATCTAGGTGGACTGCTCTCTTTAGAAGCTAAATAAACTCTCTTCGAGCTCCAGGACCATGTCAGGTAAGCTTGCTGCATGAAAACATAAGATAAAATAGGGGAGCAGGGTTGTATTCATGTTGTCAAACTCAATGGATTCCCTGTTTTGCAGGTAGTTACACTCCAGCCCCAGGGGGCCCTTTTTCAGCCCTCACACCAAGCATGTGGCCCCAGGACATCTTGGCAAAGTACTGTCAGGTAGTTTACTTCTTTATTTCCTCCTTTGCTTTATAATACTGTATTCATACTGTAAGTGCCATAAAAATGTTGCTTGTTTTTGTAAGGTCTTTATTGTTGTGGGAGGTTGTTCATTTCTCACAGACATTCTTCTGACTATTGCAGAAAGACCCCGGTACGGAAGTGGAACTGCAGTATGATGAATTTGGGTTCCGGATCGATAGTGAAGGTTGGTGTGAGAACATTAGCACTCATAAAAAGTTCAAAGGAATTAAAGGGTTCTCCCATTATGAATATCTTGCCATAATTTACTCTGTCTTCACTTATTTTAAACTTGCTCTTCTGTCAAGATTGAAGAGTGATGGAAGCCTTTAACTATTGACTTCCATAATATTTATTTTTCCTGCTAAGGATGTGAGTGGTTACAGTTATTTCAACAGTATTCAAAATATCCTCTTTTGTGTTCAAAATAACAGAAGACTCTTATCTAGTTTAACTATCGCTTTAATCAACGCACTTGTTTAGGACAACAACAAATATAAAACAAAATGACTGGATCTGCATTATCTGCATTTTTTACTACATTAACTATGCAACAATTTTTATGTAAATGAAATTTCTGTTTTTGTCAGGCTCATTCTTTAAAGAAATCATTGCATTTTCTTGGCAAGAATGTTTGTTATTAATCAGAATTAACAGATTTGAGTTGCTGGGGGGAAAATCAACAAAGATTTAGGCAGTGCAGCTGTTTTCTAACATTGATAATAGAAAATAAAATGTAAATGTGTTAAAATAGAAAACTATTCAATTAATTGTATTATCCAATATTGTTTTTAACCTCTTAAGAATCTGTGTACCGGGTCCAAAACGTCGTTCACTTCAGCGTTCTTTAAATTTTAAAAGTCCGTCCTGACCCAATACCCCCATAAGTGGTTCTAATCCAACTGATGAGAGAATGGAATAACTTTTGCATAGATTATGATAAAGGCATTTTTCTTTTATTTCTTTGATTACTGACATGTGCAGGACCAACTAAATAATTACAGCAACCTAGACCACACATAACCTATAGTGTACACTTTCAATTTTGAGTTCTCAAAAAAAATGTTTTTATTATTATAACAACGCAGACAACAACAAAAAAATATATTTTAATTACTTTAAACAGTGTTTTCTGAAAATTCAAAGGGTTTTTCTTTAAAATGATACCATTTACACATACATTTACACTTTTGCATGTAGATTTAGGAAAATTTTGAATTTGGGAAGGCAAAATCCAGCAGGAAAGCTCAAAATAGCACTTGACTTAAAGTGGTTAATGCTTTTTTAACCTCTTTAAAAATCATCTTGCAGACTGTATAGTATTTATTTCATAATGCTTAGTATTATTATTGACAATAATGTGATATTTTTGAGGCTTTGTTGCATTAGTGTTAAGATGGCAAATGTTTGGGAATGTGATTAGGCTTAAAAACCCTCTTGTAAAAACAAAAAAAAAAACAAGTCAATGTCAAGTCCTGGAAGGAAATTTAGAGAACAATGTCAAGTCTTGTGATAGAGCTTGTCTTATCTCTGGCTCAGTCTGTCTTCTTCATTGACATGAGTTTAAAACCTTCTTGTTTGTTTTTGTCAGACGGGGTTGAGACACGGAAATGGCTGTGTGGTGACGGAGCCCCTCAGAGAGAAGACCCTCAGCAGAGACTTCGCTGGCAAGCTCATCTGGAGTTCACCCACAATCACACTGTCGGAGACCTGACGTGGGACAAGATCACCCCCACACTGGCCCGCTCAGACCGTCTGCGGTCACTGGTGCTGGGAGGAATACCGCACAGCATGAGGCCACAGGTCAGCTCCTCCAGATCTCAGTGTGAACTTCACCTCACTACATATTTAATGAGGACTTTGTTTTGTTAGACAACATCATACTGCTCATCTGCTGATGTCATGTTCCCATGGCAACCTTGTTCATGCTTGAGGGATTCTTAATGTCGCTGAAATAGTACATGATGTCTCAGTAGTGTTTTGTTTAGGCTGCTTATTCTGCTATTTTTAGCGATCCCCATGAGAACAGCGGTGCGTCTGGAATCTATGATCTTCTCTGCTGGATCTTTGTTTGTTTAACTGTCGTGTTCCTCATTGTCTCTTTCATACGTTCCCTCAGTTGTGGATGCGTTTGTCAGGGGCCCTGCAAAAAAAGAGAACATCAGACATCTCCTACAGGGAGATCGTCAAAAACAGCTCCAATGATGACACCACAGCAGCCAAGCAGGTATATGTCATCCCTGACACGCATTTCATGTAGAGGCACCGATTGAGAAGAAGTTTCTGTTAGAAGTAAATACAGTGCTTTTTAAATTTGCTAATGTTTATTCCTAACAAAATGTAAAACATTAAACAACAAAAGTGAATTTAGATAAGAGGATACCATTACAAGAAATGTTTACAAATTCAGACACACAGGATTGATAATATCAATGCAGAGTAAGGAAAGAGGGGGGAATAATAATGTCAATAAATGATTATAAAGTTTAAAAATAATAAAAACATTAACAATCATAAGAAATATTTTTTGAGTAGCAATACATCATATTAGAAGGGTTTATGACCCTAAAGACTGGAGTAAGGATGCTGAAAATTCAGCTTTGAATCGCTAATAAAATCACATTTGAGCAATTCCAGCGTTATGGATATGACAATTGCAGTAAAAACATAAAACTAAAATACACTGAGAAAGTATGTTAACATTATATTGAAACATCTGTTTTCCAAAACAACTAACCACAGAGTTATGGGATCAGATAAATATCAACCTGAAAGCGTTTTTCATATTTTAAATGGGGAAATTAAACATGCGTTATGGATGTGACCAAAAAAGTCTGCAAGTTTACAGATGCTAATCAAAGGGATAAGAGTTGGCTCACTATAGAACAAACATGATTGATTTTATTTTATTTGACATTTTTGCAATTATCAGAAAAAAAGCTTGGTTATGAACATGACATCTGTCCTTTATGGATATGACAGATGTGAAATTGGCACTTGTGGGACTTTGGTAAATCAAATATAAGAGTTTGAAAACATTGACACAGACATTTTTGAGTGTTTGTAAAGTTCTGTAAAATACTTGCATACACAAAAAAAATGTAGAAAGCGTTTCACTATTTCGTTTTTTTATAGCAAGGTTGAATTTTGCATGGAATTGCTCGTTTTTAAATATATTAATTTGGGAAACTATTAAAAATTCTAGTAATATTTCACAGTACAGTATATTATAGTTTACAGTTATCAAATGACGTTAGTAATCATAAAAGAAAATAATAACAACATACTAGCAGTCTATTTTTTTAGAAGAAATTAATTAATTTTTAATTAATTACCCAATGCTTACTTCCAAACAGCATAAACAGGACCATGTCATTTTAGTAGATATTTTAAAAGCTTATTGGAAAACAATCACTGTGAAAACCTTTTCTTTCACAATGTGTATTACAGTATCTCAAAATAAACTCATGATTAAAAAGACAACATACATTTTAAACCAAACTACATCTAATTTAAAGTTTCATAATTTTTTTTATTATTATTTTTGCATTTCATTTGCTTCATTAAGCCATTTGTTGGTTAATAATTTCCGTATTAAAACTTACTTAATCTCAGACATGATATGTTGGAATGCTCCAATCGATCAGCCGAAGATGAATGTGCGCTCCTGTATATTATGCATAGCCTACAGCCGCCACAACACAGGTTAATGCGCATAGGGGCGTGAGCGATCATTGCGCTTGCCCCACAGCAACTAAAAAATGTTGATGGTCTCTTTGTTGCAAGCCATTTTATATTCAGTGTTTTGAGCTGCTCTGGTGTGAATGGAGCGATCACCCCTGTCTAGTGTCTCATCCAACCTCATTACCTCTCCCGGAAACTCCGTGAGTCTTCATACCCCAAAATTTTGACAAAATACCCGGAAATCCTGTCAACGAGAGTGAAAGAGTGAAAGAACAGCTCGCTAGTGACAAAGTGGTGCTCTGCATTACATTTTTTATGTTAAATGAATAGAACAGTAAAGATATCACCAGTGCAAATCCCCCTCTCTTTTATTGAGGGATCTTCTATCAGTAATTAAAGAAGAGCAAAATATTTGAATGGTTTTGCCAGTACTTACAGTAGATCTTTTTACATATAACAACTGAAAGTTCTGGTATTAGCCAATCACTATGACAAAGAATCGTTACTTGGTATCAGCTGTAAAAATCCTCATCGGGGCATACATCTTCCAAACCACCATCATTTAGGTTCTCTCTCTGTGTCTCTGCTACAGATAGAAAAGGATCTTTTGCGAACCATGCCCACCAATGCATGCTTCAACACTTTAACCAGTGTTGGGGTGCCCAAGCTCAGGCGGGTCCTGAGAGGGCTGGCATGGCTCTATCCAGACATCGGCTACTGTCAGGGCACAGGCATGGTGAGGAGAAAGCTTAACACACACTCTCAGTATCTCTACTGTCTAGTGTCTAAATTTAGAGTCTGAGAGGTATGTGTGTTTGTGTTTGTCTTTCCTATAGGTGGTTTCCTGCCTGTTGTTGTTTCTGGAGGAAGAGGATGCTTTGTGGATGATGTGCGCTCTGATAGAGGACCTGCTGCCCCCCTCGTACTTCTCCTCTACTCTGCTGGGAGTTCAGACTGACCAGCGGGTGCTCAGACAGCTCATAGTGCAGTATCTGCCTCGTCTAGACAAGCTGCTACAGGAGCATGACATCGGTGAGACACACTTCAGAGTAGGGCTGCACGATATTGAAAAAAATTTACATTGCGTTATTTTGTATTTCAGCGATTATATATTGTGATCAATATAATTTCACAATATGACTCAAGTAACTGTATGGGAGGAATTCACAATTTTACATTGATTGGGATGATTTTGTAGGGAAGTGCATCTACATAAAATATCCAAATATATATATTTATTTATTCATTTTCTTTTTAGCTTAGTCCCTTTATTAATCTCGGGTTGCCACCGCGGAATGAACCACCAACTTATCCAGCCTTTGTTTTACGCAGCGGATCCTCTTACAACCGCAACCCAACACTGGGAATCACCCATACACTCTTTCATTTACACACATACACTACGGCCAATTTAGTTTATTCAATTAAAATATAGCGCATGTCTTTAGACTGTGGTAGATACCAGAACACCCGAAGGAAACTCACAGGAACACAGAGAGAACATGCAAATTCCACACAGAAATGCCAACTGACCCATCCGGGGCTCAAACCAGCAACCTTCTTGCTGTGAGGCGATTATGCTACCCACTACGCCACTGAGATGCCCCAAAAATATATATAAAAAATGTAAGCACAAATAAAAAGAAAATAAACACTGCTTTATAGTTTTTGGTGGAATATTACAATATCTAAAATAACACTGTATAGTCTGTATTTGATAAAAAATTGAGTTCTATTAGTGTTTGTTAAAGTGGCAAACTTAAAATTTCTTGTTTCCAAATGGTTTAAATTTGCTTTTAATCTTACAGTCATGTACTGTAAAAGCACATCTGAGTAAAAAAATTCAAAATGACTCAAATAAAAAAATTAAAAAAACTGTACTGAACTGTGACTTTTAGTTAATTATAATCCCTACTCAACATAGCACGTCCTGCCATGTAACTATTGCGGATAATGTGCACATTGTGGTATCGATGCTGAAAGAATATATTTTGCAGCCCTACTTCAAAGTCACCACATAATTTCCATACAAGTCCTTAAGTATTCTCAAATTTAAGTCTTAAAATGTGAAACGCAGATCTCTTTTATTACTTTGTGAGATTTTAAACTAGAGAATATAAAAAAGCTTGAGTTTTGAAATGGCCTTTGATTATTTAACTAAAAAGGAGGAAAAAAATGTACGTGAACCCCTAAAGGTCATTTTTAAAGCAGTTCACAATTAGTGATGCAGAGCAATTATCATACTGTTGTAGAAGTACATATTTATTATCCTCCTGTCATTTTACTTTAGAGTGGGCAACATTCAGCTTAGAGTTCTGTGGCTTACTCTAGGGTGCCATCGAGAGATTTAAGAATATTCATTTAACACATTCAGTATATAAACTTTAGCACAATTGTGTTGCGGTGTCTTTTTATGTGTACTGGCATATTCTTTTTATTGCAATTAAAATAATCTTTTAAACTTGCAGTTACCCCATTTTGCAATTGCATGTGTGCCCAAGTTTGAGAAAAATAATCTTTCAAAAACTCTAGAGGTACCTTGATTTGCTTCCGCAAGAGGTCTCAAGCAATTTTCAGATTTCAAAGATTTTTTTTCTGTCTGAAATATGTGCATGAATAAAAAAAGACATGTTCATCTTTTTTCTCTCCCAGAGCTGTCTTTAATCACACTGCACTGGTTCCTCACTGCCTTTGCCAGTGTGGTGGACATCCGAATCCTGCTGCGAATCTGGGACCTACTGTTCTACGAAGGCTCAATGGTGCTCTTTCAGGTTACGCTTGGCATGCTGAAGATCAAGGTAATTCAAGGCTTTGATTGTTGTGTTAGCTGAACTGTTTGCTTTGTTTCGAAACAGGCACTTATAATTTGTTCAAATTAAATTACAATTGCATTTACTTATTGGATTGATTTGCTTTCATAAGACAAAACTCCAAAGCTCACCGAAATGTAATTACTTAAGTTACACGTTTAAAACTCTCCTCGCATTGTTCTTCGACAAAAAGTTTAAAAGTTGACTGTTGCATAAAAGTTGAATTGTTGCTTTATTTGTTGGTTCATTGGGTCACTTTTTTACACTACCAAATCTCTCTAGAGTTGGTTTTTAGTTGGGCGAATCTCTAAGCAAAACTTAGCAAAGGAAAAAAACGACCATATTCTAAAACATGATCCAAATGTGAGAACCATGTATGAACTAATACTTTACATATTAAAAAAAATTTAATTCTGTCATCCTTTCCTTTGACTTCCTTTGTCCTGTTGAACATAAAAGAAGATATTTTGAAGAAAGCTGAAAGGCTTCCATGGTATTCCATTTTGACTTCCAAAGTATTTGTTTTTCATGGTTACAGGTTTTCAGCTTTCTACTTCTTTTGTGTTCAACAGAAGAAAGAATTTGATAGGGGAACCTCTTCAGGGAGAGTAAATAATGAGTGCATTTTCATTTCTTTGGGTAAACAATTTTTTTAAAGGGTCATGAAACCCCCGTCTCAGCAGGGTGTTTTCACACCTATAGTTTAGCTTTATTTAGCTTTAATTAAGTGGGAGTGTCGAGTGGCGAAAGAGGGAAGAGTTTGCGTGAAAAGGAGAATTCATTATGTGAACTAAAGGTGGTTTTCACGCCGGCAACACAGACGGAGAGATAGACAGTGACTACTTTACATGGATATCAGTAATAGAATTATTCGCCTTAATCTGATTAAGACAATAATATGGTGTTTACATGAGTTGCGTTTAGAATGTTTCTTTTTATGATCCCGTTTTACATGTTATTGCACATAATTCCACACTATGGTATCCACATTTCCCCTGGAGTTTCAAGTGTTTCATTCTTCATTTGTCAACTTTAACTGCACTTTGGCACTTTCACTTTTATTCAGGAGCATTTCATGCATGCCCCCCATGACAACCGAGATATTGGATGCGAGTATGAACTGCAGTCTGAGTGTTGTTTTAATAGAGCTTTTGATACCACACACAAATGGGAGAAAAAAAAAACCTACGCATTTCTAAGTAGAAACACAGCCGTGTGTGTATAGACTATCTTGTCACAAGTTGCAGCGAAAATCCTAAACTACGGTAATGGTTTGATTAAGGTGTTTACATTGGAATAGCAGAATTTACAGCGGATCTTTCACTCCATAATATTGCAGTGATATTAACGTACTGTAAACTTAGGCCCCGTTTACACTAGTACGTTTTAGTTTTAAAACGACGTTTTAGAATGAAAACGATCCGCGTCCACACTCGCGTTTTACCCAGCGTTTCTGAACTGCTCTCCGTCCACACCAAAACGCTGAAAACGCACATCACGTGACCACACAGACGCTCTCGGGCAAGCGCTGCAGCCCATCTACCCAGATGAGAGCTCTGCTAGTCGGACTTCTCATCAAGCATCTCCCGCTGGATCTAATCTCACTATATTTATTAAACGGGATATTTCATTTATCTTGTTGTCTTTATCTAACGACATATTCCCTGACTTTGAAGATGACGCTCATCTTATGCAGCACGACGCCTCAACATGTCTGCTGTCTAAGTTGCTAATATTAAAATGAAAATAGGCAGTTCCTTAAATCATGTTTACATTTTATTGTTGAGAAAGTGAAACAACGAAGCCAGGGTGATGTGAATGAAGTTATAAAGTACACTGTTCCCTTTGAAGATTTACCCGTGTCCTCGGTATAGTCTGCTTTTCCATATCAAACTGAGAAGAAGAGACTGCAGCCTTGATCAAACTTGCGAAGTCTGAACTTACACGGAGAGAATGCAGGACTGAACTGTGCGTGTTAGGCTACTTAATATTCAGGAAAAGCCCCAATCAGAGAGGCGAACGTCTGCAGCCCCGCCTCCGTTTTCAGATGTCTCCGTTTTCCATCATCCACACTGAGACAGAGCAGCAGCGTTTCAGAATGAAAACGGCCTCTCCAGCGTTTTCGAAACGCTCCGTTTTCGGCGCTCGAGAACTCCGGCGTAGTGTGGACGGTTGGCGTAACCGTAGCAAAACTTATGCGTTTTCAAACTAAAACGCATTAGTGTAAACGGGGCCTTAGTAACTAAATCATTTTGACTAAGGTATGTCTTTAAAAACTGAAAGAGTACTGCTGACAATACAAACTAACATTGCCATCTCAATAAATATAAACAAAGAACACTGATCACACACTTACCCAATCTGTAGAGACAGGACAATCAACACAAACTGGAACCGCTTCTTTTTTAAAAGGAGACGAGTGGTAAATCCAGATTTCACCATTTCCAGATGCGAAAAGCTCTCAGGTAAAAAATGTTAGCAGAGCACTGTAATCCACACATGAGTCAAGCTGGCCTCTCATAGCGGGTAGATGGAAATAAAACCTTCATTACGGCACATTTATAGACGCAACACTGATTCTTTTTTCTTTAACTTGTTTTATTTACGGTTGGCAGCACAACATGACGTCACTCTGCCGTCTGAACACTGTAACAGGTAAATTAAGTATTCAAAGCTATATCATGCATATTAATGAACTTGCAACTCATTCACAATAAACCGCACTGATTGGTTCAAACCAAGTCTTTCTCATGAATTACTGCTGAAAGCTCAAAGATGTCATGTTGTACCCGCCGGTAGAGACAGCCTATCTCCACGCTGAAATTAACTCTATGATCTCATCGCTTTTCACTTTTTTTTTGTGTCCTTAGTGTTTTTAGCAACATGGGACATATATGAGACTGTCAACATCTAAAAAAAAAGTGTTTTAGTGTTTTGTGACCCTTTAAAAGTTTGATTTGGCACATGGTCAATAATAATCTTTTCTTCTTGTGTTTTAAAGGAGGATGAGCTGGTATCATCTGAGAACTCGGCCTCCATCTTCAACACACTGTCAGATCTTCCCAGTCAACTAGAGGACGGGGCGGCAGTGCTGGGAGAGGCTGTGCGTCTAGCCGGATCTCTGTCTCAGGAAAACCTGGACACGCACAGACACAAGCATCTGGCCTACATCTTGGCAGAGCAGGCCCAGCTCAACTCCAACAACTCCCATTCCCTCAACACCAACCTCAACAAGGCGAGTACACCATCAGCTTTGATGCACACATTACAAACATCTTCTAGTTAGCTCATTGTTGTATATCACTGTGCAGGTGGTGCGCAGACAAAACATGCGCAGGAAATCCACCCTGAGTTCACTGCTGTGGGGAGAGGACGAGGTGGAGGCGCTGAAGGCCAAAAACATTAAACAGACGGAGCTGGTGGCAGCACTGAGAGAAGCCATCAATCGCACCGCAGAGCACTTTCACTGCCTGGACCCCCGTAACTGCAGCACTGTAAGAGTCACTCCATCACATGAGTCGCATTTTCCGATCTGTCAGGAATAATTGAATTAGAAACAGCAACACTCTGACTCATGCACTGCTGCTCTGAGCCGACCTGATGACTCACTCAGTTGTTTTGTTGAATTGCATAAATCAAGCCTATCAACAAGAAATTAGCAGCACACGCTCATTCCCAGTAAACAGATCGTCGCGCGTCATAGTTTTGGGGCTTTAATCAGCAAGTAGTTGCATATCATGCCAGATGCATTATTTTATAATACTCAGTCCCCCTTTTGCATTTGGAATATCTAAAGATTACACTGGAGGACAATTTCTATTGTCTTACTAACATGCTAATAATAATTCATTTATAGTTGCATTAAGAACCTGCATAGCTTACATTTTGCTATGATCAGTAATACTAAAGTAGTAATAATATACTTCTATGTATTTTTTGTATTTCTGTTGTTATGTTACTATGCAAGGAACAATTGACAATTGGATTATTTGGATAATAGTGCACACCTGAGGTGGTCATGTGGCCACAGTGCAGTTGTTTCTAATAATTCGGCCCTCATGGTTGGTTCTGTTAAGCTGCGGTCATACTAGGTGGGCGGGATTAAACAAGATTATTAGACATTAAAAAAAGCGAGCGATTGCTCCATGTTTTAACTTTCTGTCCAGAGAGGTCATGTTTTGATTCTCGATTGGTCTCACGCAGTCAAGTGATGCGATTTTGCAGGTCAGAGTTTACCAAGCTTGAACTTGCACCGTAGCAACCTGCGGAACTTGACGCATGACCCTGCGTTTCCGGTCTGAAGCATTCGCATGCGTATGAAGGGAAGTCTTTGGGGAGAAAAGTCAAGCGTGACCGCAGCTTTATGCTAAGTAATATGCCTCGGTGAACCAAATTTATAGATTTTTATTTCAAATACATCTCATTCGTTTAAGGAATATTGAGTGGTTCTCAATGACATTTGTGATATTAAGTAAATAGTGACAGGTTTGCTTTCCTGCGCCTATTAATGGATAACCTTGAAAGACTGCACATATTTTTTTATTTTACTGTTTAACTTCTGAATGCAAGCCAGTTTATATTAAAAATACAGTCTATGTGTCTAGTTTTACAGACACCTACAAACACATTTTTTTTTAAGAAACAGGTTTTGTGAACACTTGCACTGTCTGTTGGTGCTCTAGATTTGCTGGTTTCAAACGGATGAATTGATATTTTTGGCACAATTGGTCATTTTCTGGATGGTCAAATGTATAATAAAGTTATCTGTTATTTTAATTATTACTATTATTTAATTATTACTATTATTATTAAGACAGATCAGAGCAAACTATTCCTTTACTATTAAAGGGCATTCCCCCTATACATCTTTTTCTTTAAGGGGGGGTCAAGCATTAAGAGGGGGGTCAGACCCCCCTCCCCAAACAATAATTGAAAATAATTACATGTCAATCAGAATTAATCATTCATTCATAATTATAATTATTTTCTAAAAATAAAATAGAAATAAATTAAACTGTGGTGACCTCTGAAATAGAGACTAAGCTGAAGGAAAATGAATGAATAAATCATAAAGTATTGTAATTTTTGTAATAATAATTACTGTTGTTTACGATTTATCATTGATATGTTTATCATTGTCACCCATAAGATATAAAATGCTCAAATTTGTATGAGTTTTTTTTTTTTTTGTGCGTGCTTAGGATTTGACTCCAGATTATTCCATGGAGAGCCATCAAAGGGATCATGAGAACTTCCTGGTCGTGTCAAGAAATCGACGGAGAAGAGCGAAAGCATTACTGGACTTTGAAAGGCACGATGATGATGAACTGGGCTTTCGAAAGAATGACATCATCACTGTGAGCGTCTGCTGTTTCGGTCATGTAAACATGTTAACCGCCGCTTTGTTTTTATTCCTCATTTCTTTATTTTTGTTTTTGTTCTCAGATCATCTCTCAGAAAGATGAGCATTGCTGGGTTGGAGAGCTGAACGGCCTGAGAGGTGAGTGGAGATTTGCTTACAAACAATGTTAAACTTGTCTTTGATTTTCTGATGTGCTTATTATTACAAGTTAGAAAGAAAATAAAAATGTTTGTTTTCCCCTTTCTGTAAAAACGTCAAACCATCAGTATTTACCTTTTGAATGTCAAATATTAGCATAGCTTGGTTGGAATTACTATGCTCAGATTCTAGTCACTATTCTAGTCACTTATTCTGACAATAGCACTTATAAATTGAAGTCTGTACGTGGACTTGCAAAATTGCAATGCTCCCATAGACTTGACATTTTCAGTTACATATACAACAACCATAAAAATGTTTCTTATGCTTTATGAAAAAATAGTCTCAAATATATTAAGCCATATTTCTTTTCTCTCTGTATATTCTTTTTTTTTCGGTTTTAAAATGTATCAGTAGCTACGTTTACATCCACCTATTTTATGTACATTTTGGATATTCACATCTGTTTTTTACACTGTAAAACATCTGAAATGTTGTTTTGGTCATTCTTAAACACCTTAATCATCTCAGTATTAGTGTTATTATATTATTAATTACCTCTAGAACTGTCAAGAGCATCTGTGCTCCATGTCTGACACCTTCAAAGACTATCGCACGTTCACTGCACGTCAGGATTGCCTTCTGGAATGCAAGTCATTTATTAAAAGAAGAAAAGGTTGACACAGCTTCTCCTACTGCAGCAAATTCAGTTTTTACTGTTAATATTTGGCGCCAGACAGGAAGTGACGATCTTGTTCGCTTTGACTCGTTGGATTGAAACGCTGCTTAATTTGTACATCTTTTATGTGATATTCCAGTTTTGCGCACAAAGTTCATTCGCATTTTTAGATGGAAACGTAGCTACTGTTTATAATGTTTCCCCCAAATTTTTTGGAAACTTTACAAATATGTTGGTCATGCAGAAATAATTCTGCATCTGCAGTGGTAATAACAATGCATTAATTCACAGCATGTATTGATGAATAAGACACTTTTTGGCATATGTATAATGCTATCCGTTTGTCCCTTTAGGCTGGTTTCCTGCTAAATTTGTGGAAATTTTGGACGAACGAAGTAAGGAGGTAATCTAAATTAATAATTTAAATTTTCCTTTAAAAGTGACATTTTCAAACTTGAAACAGATTGTTTATTGAGTACTCCAGGACAGGTTTTCATAAGTGGTTTTTATTACAAAGTTTAGAATGTCCTGTTGTATCCTAAAACCGCTGGATAAAAGTGTTTCTCATGCTCCTGTGTTGTTATTTCAGTACTCTTTGGCTGGAGATGACACTGTAACTGAGGCAGTGAATGACCTGGTCAGAGGCTCACTGTGTCCTGCTCTAAAGGCCATCTTTCAGCATGGCCTGAAGAAACCCTCCATACTGGGGGGACCCTGTCACCCATGGTTGTTCATCGAGGAGGTATATTAGATTAGATTAGATTCAACTTTAATGTCATTACACATGTACAAGTACAATGCAATTAATTATCTTACTGTCATTATCTAGTGTGAGTATGAACATTACTAAGTGAACTATTTTGTGTGTTTGTGTACATTTTTATCACAGGCAGCCAGCAAAGAAGTGGAAAGAGATTTCAACTCTGTTTACTCCAGATTAGTGCTTTGCAAAACTTACAGGTGAGGCATAGAGTAATTTTAAAATCTACTCTGAATTCTCTTAACAGTGATTTGTTGATATAATATCCGCTCTGATCCTTGTCTCTTCAGATTAGATGAAGATGGGAAGGTGCTCACACCTGAAGAGCTACTTTATAGGGTAAGTTCAACAACAGAATAAAAACAGTAGTCACATCGTATATTGGAGAAGTTGAGCAGTTTTGTGTCTGAGCATTGAGCGCCCTCTACTTGTCATCTTAGGCAGTGCAGTCGGTCAACATGAGCCACGACACTGCACATGTTCAGATGGACGTCAAGTTCCGCTCTCTCATCTGTGTGGGCTTAAAGTAAGTCTCACTGCTATTTTTACTACTGCTGAATATCCAAGTGTGTGGCATCTACAAAATGTTTAGCTTTGTGTGTGTGTGTGTGTGTGTGTGTGGTGTCAGTGAGCAGGTGTTGCACCTGTGGCTGGAGGTCTTGTGTTCCAGTATGAGTGCTGTGGAGAAGTGGTACCATCCCTGGTCTTTCCTGCGCAGTCCTGGCTGGGTTCAGATCAAGTGTGAACTCAGGTAAGACTAAACCTCTGCTGATGGGCTGAAATTGAGCTTAAAAATGATCTGAACCAAAAAAGAAAACTGAAATTGCGCATTTTGAGAGGTTTTAATGTTTTTTTTTTTTTAAGACTACCATATTTTACCGAAAACAACGTAAATTTAAAGGCTGGTTTATACTTCTGCGTCAAGTGATCGATGTGACCCACATCGCGTGTCTTGCGCGTTGCCGCCCTGCTTGTGATGCTCTGCAATAACACTTCTGAAATGCTAGCTGGCAGTAGATGTTTATGATCCTGTCTGTTGAGTTTCTTCGCTGGTGTTGTTTTTCTGAAAACTAACTTAATCTACAAGTGGCTCAGACTTGCTCATTTTGAGAGGGGAACCAGCAGACATGCAACAACTTTAATCATAAGGTAAACACTAAACAAGTTTCCATCTAGAGCTACTTCATGGTACTCAACAACGGGGTCCATCAGGCTCACATGGCTCTCACCCCCTGCCCATACTCGTCAGCGCTACCAAGCTGACCAATCACAGAGCTTGTACGATGCATACTTAGTTAAATATTTTGAGAGGTGTGCGTTGGAGACAGCCATGTCGAGGGCGATGCGTCCACATGCAGGCTGTCCCAGAGCATAAGCGTGCACTTGACACAAAAGTAAAAATAAGCCTTATCCCTTTTGCTGAGTTCAGACTGTATGATTTTAAAAGTAGTCATGTCACAGATGTTTTCACTATCTGGGGTAGCACTTCCCCGCTGCTGTGTTCACACTGCAAAATTGGTCGACAACAGGGGATCACACCACATGACTTTACAACAAGAGAAATGCAGACAACTTTGTCTCGGTCCTCAAACATCTCACAACAAAACACGTGAGAAGTGACATGACAACAATACGATGTGACGCAGTATATACATGGTTTCCGCTACATTCATTCTTCCATGGCGGGGCGCCACACCAAAATTCTTCTCACCACGGCTACATTACAGCTTCTCATTCAAAACATTCAGTCATTGTTGTGTTTTGTTTTTTTTAAAAAGTGGGTTATAATCGCACTAAAACGCACTAAAAGGTAAGTGAATTATAACAGCGCAAACTTTCTGTAATTGTAGTAGTGCTGTGCGTTATTTGTTTAGCCCTTTAAGGTGACATGCTGACATGCAAACACAATGTAGCTTTCAGTTAAGATGAACATAGTTTCTATAATTATACTTTATTTATAGATAAAGGACCATGGTTCTGCGTACAATGACTTTATCTTGCTGGAGTTTATTGCCTTTTCACTTTACTTCAGGAGGCATTAATGCCGCTCTGTAGGACTATTGGAGAAATTCATAAATTTTCCTAGCAAATCTTATAAATGTTAAAACTCATTACATAAACGCACTAAATCGCACTTCAGCAGTGTTTATTAGAGAACCCACAAAAAAGATCTGTGCTTGAGCAGCGTACATTTGTGAGGGCGCAAGAGGTTTTGTGCACGAGCAGTGGAAATCAGCGCACAGGCAAAGAGATTTGCTTGCTTGTATTACATAAATGTGCTCACGACATTTCTCCATTTGTCATTGAAATAACACCAACGGTAGTTGATAGATTTGTGTAAAAGGCCTGCCGTCACAGCTGAAAAAATCCTGGAGGAAACACCGATATATATTATTATTAACTACATAATGAGAAAGAAGCCTTTACTGGAGTAGAAAATTTACTTATTTAGCAATTAACAATTTCTCCTCAACTTTTTTCTATTTCGACCTGGTTGTGGTATTGATCAGATGACACGTCAAACAGACACAGTGCTCCTGCCAAATTCACACTAGTTTTTACAAATAGACTGAAAAGAAGCTCTTTTAACTTCTCCCCCAACCTCCAACTGGCCTGCAGATACCCATACTAGTGGATGCTGCTCTCTCATTGGCTGGAGGTAATCGTCAATATTATTTTCAATCAGAACACATTTCACACTGCATGATTTTAAATCGCAGACAGCTTCAGATATTTAGCATGCCAAATATCTCTCGGATGTCAGCGACTCATCTGCGATTCTTTCAGATGTCGTCTTTGATAGTTCACACTGTGTGATTGTTACTTACGTGAGCGAACACTGATTTGCCTGATTTCATCAATTTTTTTTTTTTTTTTGCGCTGATTTCTCAAAACCTGTCGGTGAGTCAATATTGGAGCTAAAATCATTCAATCTGCATTTGTGTTCTAAAGAAAAATGTTGAGTGAAAAAAAAACTGGTAAGTCTAAGTCAAGTTAGTGTAAAAAATGTTGATATAGCAGAAAGCATGAAAATACTTAGTTGTGGTGCTTTGCATTTTTTCATGCTCTTAAATCACATTTTGACATGAATATTGCAGCCTGTTTCAGCTTATTAAAAGTTGGTGTTAAAAGACTGCCCTGAACTGGAGAGCAGAAAAATATTAATAACAATTAATAAAACATTAATAAAAAAAATGTCCTTGTATTTTTTGTCATGTTATGGTAAAACTGCAATGTCTCTGCCCAAAGTAAATAATAAAAAGGCAAATGTACAATTATTAATACAGATATATATTTTTTATTTAAGTATACGTCATTATTTTTAGTGATCATGGATATTGTTATTAATCTGCAACTTTTTTTATTATTTAGATATTGTTGTTGTATTATTGCTAATAAGTAAATCGCTTGTCATAAACGTGTCAGTAACTAACCACTATAGTTTATCTTGTGCTTTCAGAGTTCTCTCAAAATTTGCCTTCAGTCTTTCCCAAGACTGTGAGCTGCCTACCAAAAAAGAGGTGAGTGATTGGCACTTCCTGCACACACACACACACTCACACACAGAGCATCTCACCTGTCCTCCCACATGCCAGAGACACTCACACACATGGGCTAACATGCATCTGCGTGTTTGTCTGCTCTTCCAGAAGTCTCCTGTTCTCAAATCTGAAGTGGTGGATGTCTTGGTGCAACATCACCTCTTTAGTTGGGACCTCTAGGTAACGCTGGCATCTAGTTAATAGCCTGCTGCTCGATAACTAGCTGCTAAAGCATCTCGTGGTGGTAGAAGCTTAGTAGCTGTAGAGCTTGCTGTGTGTATTGCTCTTCTATTCACTGCTTTTTATATAGTAGATTTACAAAGTGAGCACGATTCACATGCGCACTAATATGCTAATAACTGTCAAAAATCAGTTTGAAGTAACCTGTTTTACTGGTTTATATGCAAATCAGTAACCCGATAACGCAAGTAAGACTTGACAAAAAAAAACAATAGGCTTTTTCCAAACATGTGTTTGATTTCGTATGTGAGATGTGGTTATTAACTTGCTCATTCTCATATTTGAAGTTTCTATGGTTGTACCTTCTCTGCATGAGATGACCGCATATTTGTACAATTTCTAAGAGTCTCAGAGACCGTTTCCAATTCATTTTCTTCTACCCAATGATAAATGCTTTTTGTTTCTGGATGAGCTCAGATCTGCTGTGAAAAACACATGCTAAGTGTGTACATGCCAAGCACAATTATAGCAATGGGCAAACATCTGTGTTGATTGGCTCATGGTCTATGCTCTGGTTATTGCTTATGATAATATACAAGACCACACACACTTTTTCTGCTTATGAACATTTTCATGTTCAAAAGCAATATTTCGGATTAAGAAAAAAAGGATTTGGGTCAAAACAGATCGACCAGAGTTCATTATCACTCCCAAAGCATTGATGAAAAATGCAGCCAGTGACAAAGGAAGGATGTCATAATGATGTAACATTCAGTCAGTAGCTGGGAAAGAGTTAGGCCTACTTGCATTAAGGAGATGCATGTAAACAAACTCACTAACTGAACCTCTAAAAACTGGATCTGCAGCTTTCATGTGGAATACTACTTAAATACTGCTCTCCATCTTTTAGTGTGAGTGAGCTTGGAAAGTTGTCTTGATGCTCTATACCAGGGGTGTCCAAACTTGGTCCTGGAGGGTCGGTGTCCTGCAGATTTTAGCTCCAACTTGCCTCAACACACCGGCAAAGATGTTTTTTAGAAAGCCTAGTAAGAGCTTGATTAACTAGCCCAGGTGTGTCTGATTGGGGTTGGAACTAAACTTTGCAGGACACTGGCCCTCCAGGACCGAGTTTGGTCATGTCTGCTCTATACAGTACAGGTTGTGTCAAATCAGTGATTAATATATATATATATATATTATTTTTATTTTTTTTTTTTTGTCATAACACACTTTTGCTACTTTAATTAGGTAATCGTCTTTCAATAGTGATGGGAAGTTCTAATCATTTTACTGACTCTGACCTTTGAGTCTTATTAAGATGAACAAATCTTATTCAAGTCATTTTGTTCAAGTTGCGTCCAAACTAATCTACAACTACACCAAACCTTGATCACACTACAAACAAATCAGGATTAGAATTCCATAAGAAAGAAAAAAATAATCATTTATTGTTTACCTGCTCTTTTGTCTGATTACGTCAGCTCACCTCTTCTTACAACTCTTTAAATTTGTGTCATTCACATCATGCTGCCAGTCCTATATAAGCTTAAACAATGCACACAGTCTGAGCCAAAAGGATCCATGATGAGTTCAGCTCTCGAGTGATTTTTGATGAATGAATGGATCAAATCTTTTTCCAGCTCTGACTGCATATGATTGGCCTTTTGTCTTTCACTTGATGAACGAACGACTCAAACTCGACTGAAAACTCGAAAAAGGATCTAATCTTCTACTCCACCTGACAAGTGTGTGAATGAACAAATCACTCCCTGAGAAGACTGTCCTACAAAAAATTTGTTCTAAATGAACAAATCATTCAAAAATGACCCATCACTATCTTTCTACTGCATTTTGAAGGTATATGACATTCACAGCGGTGCAGTAGGTAGTGCTGTCGCCTTACAACAATAAGGTCACTGGTTGGAGCCTCAGCTGGGTCGGTTAGCTTTTCTGTGTGTTTTTTGCATGTTCTCCCTGTGTTCGCATGGGTTTCCTCTTGGTTGTAAGAGTCTCCAACAACAGTTTAATATGCATGCAAGGTCAAAAAACACTTTCATGGTCTTATAATCTGCATTTATTTTTACCTAATTATCCCAGCGACTCCCGTATGAATCGTCCAGTGATTCATTTGTTCCCAAACCCCTCCTTAGAGCGAAGCTAATCTGCACTGATTGGACTGATGACAGCCTGTTGCGATTGGTCGACTGCCTTCAGTGAGAGAGTGAAATGCCAAACAGCTAATCAGCAATATAAAAGTAATTACAGTTCATACACGCTCGATAGTGTAGGCGTGGATTTTAGCTGCCAGTGGGTCAATGTAAATACAGACGACTAACTATTTTATTGAGCAAAAACTCCAAAAACTGTTGAGGAGATCTTCTAGCTTGTCTCACTCTGCTCTTTTCACAGACACACACACACACACACACACACACACACACACTGCTCCTCCACGGAGCTCCGTAAAAATAAAGCAGTGTGTATGCATCACATTTTGTAACAGTATAGCTCACTATACTGTTATAGCGAGCTATATACTGGAATTAGGCTTGGGACGACAACCATTTTCAAGGTTTGAAAAAGTCAAGGATTTAAATCTGCTATGGTACATGTCACTTTTTTATTTTTACGTTTTAGGTTTTTTAAGAGAATAGTTACTCCTGCAAAAAAAAAAAAAAAAAAGTTACCTGAAGATGTGGTTTTAAATTGTGAAGAAAATGTTTTAGAAACTAGTGAAGACAGCAGAAGTCAATGATTCTTTCTAATTATTTAGCCGGACATGTTTACTACCCCAAAAATGTTATAAATGTTTCTCTACATAAAATATAGTGTGTTCAAAGGGGGAAAAGTTTTAGTTTTTTTTACCCAGACATTTAAAAAGAATATATTTCAGAGCAGTAATCACAATACTGTGAAAGCGAGATTTTTTTTTTTATCCAAGGTTTTCATTCCGTCAGAATCTTATATCGACCCATGCCTACTTGGAACCTCACTCGAGGTAGTACTTAAAAAAAGTAGCAGGTAAAAATTATGAAATGCAGTGAAAAGCCCCCAAAAGTGAGTCCACCACCAAACAGCTCTGTACTTTGCAGTGGGAAAGCGCTTTTTGTGTAAACAGGCTTTGGAGGACATCCTAAGTGTCTGCTTCTGACAGACTTCCTGTGATAAGCTAATATCATATATCAAGAATGCATGCTCAGCCTCTTCCTGTCTGGATAGATGTAGGCTTTATGCTAATGGAGTGTTTGCAGTTCTCTTTAAATAACATTGAGAGACATTACCTGCCGTTCACAGTTCAGTGAAGCGACATTCACTGTTAGCGCTAATGTTAGCCAGTAGAAGAATCACTGCTCTGACCTTTAGCTGGGTAGTTGAAGTGGTTCTCTTGTCTCCGGTGACCTTTTTGACTTTGACTGGAGCTCTGAAGCTCTGACAGAGCGTCGTGTTTAATTACAGTGAGGTAGTTGTGAAAATCAGCAGGAATGCTGATCACAGCTGTTTGTTTTAATTAGCTAAGCCATTCAAGGCAATGGAGCAGTGTTTAAGCAGCGCACTTGTGAAGACGCATCAGCAAACGGCTTATTTTACCCCACTTCTTTTTTTATATCAGGAGAAGGAGCAGAGGCCTCTGAAGGAGGGAGTTCAGGACATGCTGGTGAAACATCACCTCTTCAGCTGGGACATCGACGGTTAAACCGCCACACACATCCCCACATCACTCTCCAGCTGCAGAAAAACAGGGCTCACATGCCAAGCTCATCTTCATTTCACGTACTGCTTAATGTCAGATGGCTGAACTGGTGAGTGTTTGAGTCTTGCCACAGTGGTTGACTTTTTGTCACTCTTTCAAGAGTCTTTCTGTACAAAGGAGATTCTGTACACAGAATCCAACTACAGAACGGGCCTGCAAGAACTTCCTCTCCTCTGAAGCTCAATAATTGTTGCACCATTCGGGTAAATGAATGAATGAATGCTGGATTTTCACATTTCTGTCCATTTACTCTCAAATAGTTCTGACTGCCAGTGTTTCTGGATTAGTTAGAGGGTGAGATTTGGGTCTACATCCTGTAGGATTGTTTTGAGAAGCTGTTTTAATGTCTGAATGATCACGCATGTACAATCAGAGGGTTAAACACGTCAAGTCAAACACATTTTCATAATTTAGCTCTGCAATCTCTAATAGTCTTCACTTTGTTCAAGATGGTCTCCGAAATTCGGTTCTCAAATCTGTTTTCCACCATGTTTTAACATAAGATTTCACTTGCAACAAACTATTTTGACAGGACCAATGAATTGATGGAGATATGACTGCATGTAGCTCAGACTGCAGCATTAAAACACTTGATTGGCCTCTTTTGGGCCTTGAAGAACATCCCTGATTCATTGTTATTGGTGTGCAGTGAATCAGCTTTGTGTGATCCATCTTGTTTTTTTTCTTATAAACACGTGAAGTATAAAGAAAACTGATATTTAGCATTTTTGAGATGTCGACTTGCTAAAGGTATTGTAATGGCCATGTTCAGCGCTGCATTACTGATTCTTAATGAATCGCTCTGACATCTAGAAGTCTTCTACAATGAAACAAGAGCCTACAGACACCATCAGATGGAGCAGTGAATTAAAGGAAAATGTCCATTCATAGTTCTTGTAACTGGTAAACATGGTTATCCAGAACCAAAAAATAGTCTGTAATGGTTGAGCATGATCGTCACATGGGGCTTTAGGTCATATCCACGATCACTGAGAATAATGTGTACTTAAATAAAAATCTATATCTGTAAGAGTTATGGTGCTCTTGTCTTTATTATGAGGTACTTTATGGGATTTTATGTTTGCTTCATGAAACTGTGTAGTGTAGAGAGCGTGTCGCTTTACTACAGGATTAAAGCAAAATGACAATTAAAAAAATACAAGATCACAATGATTTTATAAAAACGTATTAATTGTCAGAGCTCAATGCTAAGGATTTTTTTTCGAGGTCCAGAGGGATATTGAACAGAAGTAGAATTAAGAAAACCAGGATAACAGAAAAAGCACAGCTTCAGCTAGTTTAATCTGTGCAATCTGGCTTATTCTATTGCACATTTGCTGAGACAGGATTACAACCTGCCGCTTCTTAGCCAAGCTCAGTGTAGATAGTTGAGATGAGTGCATGTTCACAGGATTCTGAGACCAACTCCCATTAGTTTCTTGCAGAGACCTCTACCCAGCAAGCATTTTTTTGGTTTTAAAAGATGTCTAAATGTAGTCGTATTGGCCAAAACAAGACTAAATTTGGGCTTTCAGTGAAAGCCTAATAGACGTCTATGAATAGGCCTAAACTAGACTAGTCATCAAATAAACAGCCATGTACTTGAGCGACAGCTTCTAACAATGGAAAGATTTGAACAAATCAACAGAATCTATCATAAATGTGATCACACACTTAAAAAAATATGTTGGCTTTTATTAATCCAATGTTTGGTCAAATATGGACAAATTCAATCTTTTAAAAATTTCATTTAAAATACATTTTTAACAAAGCTGTTTTTTTTTTTTTTTTTTTTTCAGTGGACGTGCAAGTCATGTACAGGAAATGTATTATTAATTGCAAACACTTTAACATTATGCACATCTTCTTTATCTGTCTGTTTAATCTTTCTCATTTTTTAAGTAATTGCTTTATTGTACTTGTAAAAATCTGTTATCTCATATATATATATATATATATATATATATATATATATATATATATATATACAGTATATAAGTGCAGCTAATATATTAGAATGTATAATATATATACACATGTGTAATAGTTTAAAAATAACTTCAGTGGTCAAAGTGGCTAGGTTATAAATGTGTAAAAGATAATCTTAAGTTTGCCTAGACTAACGTGATTTTGTCAAGTCTTAATGAACGAATTATTTGAAATAATATCAATGAATCACGCTGACCTACAAGTATATTAAATTGCTATAGTACATCAGAGATATGGACTTATTCTACAAGTGTTTTCTTTTTCTCAAAACAAGCCTTTAGTCATTGACCCCTGAATTAAATGACGTTAAAACTCTTCAGAAAGTCTAGCAGAGACAAAACCAAACACTTCTGAAATTCTCAACATCTGTTTATTTGTATATTGTTTGTGGAAAGTGAGTTTCACGACATGTAAATGCAGAGAATGGTCCAGCTGATCAAATATCCTGAAAGGAGCAAATACTAAAGTACTTGGTAGAGCAGCTAAACCATCTGAAACGATTTACAGCACATGTTCTGGAGGCCGTTCATCTCATTTTATTTCCTAATTCAAAAACAGCTGGCACTATTTTGAAAAGGTTCCCCATTATGAACAATTAGGGGAAAGAAAACTGTGAACAAATGGTTGAATTTGAAATATCTTATTAAAACTGTTAAATATATTGGCAGAACTTGAGCCAAGTGTATCAGGCACACTTGAGTAAATGTCTCAGCTTAAACAAAGATTTGAGGAGCTCTAAATATATTGTAATTAGCATTAATAGTTTAATTAGATAAAGTTTTTTTTTAATTGCCAATTCTCATTTCACACAAAACTAGCTGCCAACAAACTTCACAATCAGTGTCCCATTAGCTTCAGCTCATAAAAACCTAGCAAAAGCATGTGAAACGGTCCAGCTCTAATCATCATGGTCCACAATGAAAACACTAGCTCCAATGAAAAGCGGTTGAGTGACGAGGCTTGTTAATAATCCCTTTAAAACAGCTACATGAGTTTTACATCATTCCAATGAAATTACCTTCAAAAATAACAGTTGAGCAAGTATATGATGTGTTCAGCAAGAAGAAACGGACGTAAAGTTTATCCTTCAAGTCGACATTTACAGCCAAAACAGAGCCACCATGCAGTAAATCGGTCCTATAGTCTCAATATCTACGGTATATACAGTCTACGGACACACGCACGTCTTAAAATAAGTTAAAATTGATAAAAAGGGCGTGCGTGTGCTGGTTCTGTGAACGGTTGAGCCTGGTCACTGGAGTGCTGTGGTCCGTGTGGGTTGCTAAAAGGCATGAGTAAAAGATGGATGGATGGATAGATGGCCAACTGGACTCTTGAGTTTAACATCCACCGACGGCACCGGCAAGGGTCACTGTGGAGTTGCTCTGAGGTTTGCCTTTGTGCCGCTGACCTCCTCGTCTTCTGCCTCCAGACTTTGGCTTCAGGAACAAAAGAGGAAAGAAGTTGACTAAGATGATTGTAGACTTCTGAACTTCACATCTGATCCTGACCGCTTGTTTTTAAATTTTATTTTTTTATTTTTGCTGTACCTATGCAGGAGTTTTGCAAATAAATTGACAACATTGTCGTTTTATGATTGTTTTGTATTTTGGTAGTGTATTTTTATTTTGATGCCATGTTTTCACCCATTTTAATTGATTTTGGACAACACATTACCAACGTTTTGACTAGAAATCTAGATTTGGTTAATGAAATCAATTTAATAACAGATTTTTTTCAATCATATCATGTGTTTTCTTATTTTGTACAATTGGTTTCTTATGGAAGAGGGGGAATGCTCTAAATTTCAATATTTTAATTTAAAATTTTGAAGGAATATTATCTGATTTTCAACTAAAACTATTAAGAGTAGAAAAAAAGAATGCAATAGTAATACAATAATATTTAGCTGCAGACACACACACGTTTCAGGCACACACAATCCAGCTCACATGATAAAGGCGCACCATAAATGTTGTATATATATATGTAGTGTATACTATTTCACAAATATGGTCGACTGAGCAGTTTTCAATCAGTCATTATTTATCTGACAGAGTCAATATAGCAGGTAATCATTTGCTGACCTTGCTGAAACATTCTTCAGAGATATAGAAATGATCTAATTGGACATCTAAACCAATTAATTTATATAATAGAGTCATTGTAATTAGGGAAATAATAGCAAGTTAATATGTATAGGTCACAATAGATCTTTACATGTGATACAAATCTTTTTTTTTTTTTTTGATAAAAATGTATTACACTATATTAGTATTTTACTCCAGCGATTGAATAGCATTTATTTGCTTTAATTTCTAATAACTATTTTATTATGATTTCCCACATTAAATAGTAAATAAATTATAGTAAGTAATATTTTGTCTTTATAATTATGACAAATTACCAGTACTTAATGTTTTAGTTGCAACAAATATATATATATATATATATATATATATATATATATACACACACACACATACACTATATTATATATTACTAACAGTTTAAATTAGTTTATAACTTTATTAATTTAAAATAATTTACTATAGTAATTCATTTTATTGTGATATTGTTTATTTTTTTATATTTTACTACAAAACGATTATGTATGCATGTATGACAACATTAAGATCCTGAATTAGTGTATTAACACTTAATCCGACAATAAAACAGTCTAATATGTGTGTAAGTGTATACGTATATAAAGTCATAAGGGTTTTTAACTATTTTTATTTACATACACAATTTTACACAAATTTACACAATTCAAATTCCAAAACTGCACAATGTTAAAATGATTGTTACGATATAAGAATGAAATAATGACTCAAATGGGAAACCATAAACTGTTTACAATACAATGAATTGTGACCATAGCACGGACGGTCTGGATCGCCATATTTGTGAAATTCAGTAGGTGGCGATAAATCTCCTTAGGAGTTATCCATCATTTAACAAGAAAAAAATAGAAGACTGCTCCATCATTAACCATATATAGTTCACCCCTGCCTAGATCATGTGTGCTAGATTGTGTGTGCTTGAGGGTCTGCAGCTAGATATATCTCTAGAAATTAGCAGAATAATTAGTCCATGAACAGTTCATTAGTATTAATCAATTTGCAAATAAATTACACAAGAAGTTTAGAATTTTGCCTGGTTGAATTCTTGACCAATGATTTAAAATAACTGAAATATTGTTAAAATGTTGAGCGCAGAATTTAGAAATTCCTAAAACTATGGATTGTTCACCTGCCCCCCAAAAATGTGTTCTATTAATCAATCATTTATTATCCCTCATGTGGCTTTAACCCTTCTTAAACCTCTTTTTTCTGTTGAATAAAAGATATTTTGAAGACAAATCAATGGGTGCATACCAGCATTTTTCAAAATATCCTCTTTTGTGTTCAGCAGAAAACTCAGATAGGTTTTGAACAAGTAGGGGAAGAGAAAATAACATTTCTTTAAATTATTCTGCTAAAAACAGATTTTAAGCGTCAGTATTTATCTTTAAAACACCAAAACCTAAAATTGAACAAAAAAAGGTATATCTAAAAAGGTCTAAAACTCAACCATTAAACAAAATTGACACAATTCAAAACCTCTTGTTTTGTGGACAAGAAATGTGTCATTTCCTGACCAATCATCTCTCGTTGTCTTCAGCAACCATATTAATGCCTCAGAAGAGCTTCTGTCTAAAATGTCAGTCATTATTATTTGGTTGACTCTTATCAGAACAGCTCACAGGCATTCTAGGAATGACTTCTTAAATGCACAGCATATTTATAGCCTTTTGGAGGGAAAACTGCAAACCAGCCTGTATTAAACCAGCCACCCTTTTGCACTCATTTCCATTTTCACTCATTTCCATGCAAATCTTTTGAAACCATCAAGAGCATATAAACAGCACAGCTCCAGTGAGGGGGGTTAGCAGTGTTGGAAATGAGCGAGTCACTTGTGTCCCTTGTTTTACCTTGTTCTCTTTGTTTTGAGGGTCCTCCTCCATTTCTGTCTGAAGCAGTAAATTGAAAACAAAAA